CTCGTTACCCAGGCTGGAGTGCAATGGCGCGATCTCGGCTCACCGCAACCTCCGCCTCCTGGGTTCAGGCAATTCTCCTGCCTCAGCCTCCTGAGCAGCTGGGACTACAGGCACGCACCACCATGCCCAGCTAATTTTTTGTATTTTTAGTAGAGACGGGGTTTCACCATGTTGACCAGGATGGTCTCGATCTCTTGACCTCGTGATCCACCCGCCTCGGCCTCCCAAAGTGCTGGGATTACAGGCTTGAGCCACCGCGCCCGGCCCAGGCTTTTCTTTTTAATGAAAAGCAACCCCAAATTGTTTCTCTTCCTAAGGAAGAGCAGCCTGTAAAATCGAGCTGCAGACAGACATAGATACCAGCAGTTGTGCCAATCATGTTCAAGATGGCAGCTCTATCCTCCCTTCTCTTTGTCAGCCACATGAGCAGTAAGGAGCAGACAAGAAGGACCAATCAACTGGGAAGTTCATTTGTATAAGATTAGGGTGGGGCAACCAGCCTTCCCCAGGCACTATGTAAACGTCATACCTGATGGATCCAATCTATGAGCCATATGTAAGTCAGACACTGCCTCCTCAAAGTGGACTGAAAAACTCAGCACATTCGCTGCTGGCCGACCCTCTTCAGCTCAGAGACCTCTTTCTCTTCCCGCTTTTAAACCTCTGCTCCTAAACTCCTCATATGTGTCTGTGTCCTAAATTTTCCTGGCACATGACTACGAACCCCGGGTTCAAACCCCAGACAGTGTGGCTGCTTCATTGTGAAAGCACCACCCCTTGAATTCAAAACCCTTTTATCACCCAAAGCAAAGCCCATGCCCACGAAGCAATCACTACTGTTGTCCATAATCCCAATCCTGGGCAGACATTAATCTTTCACTTTTCTGTTACCTATTTTGGACAAATCATAAAAATGAATGGAATCTTTTGTTTCTAACTCCCTTTGCTTAGCATAATATTTTTAATGTTATTCACATCATACCACGTATCAGTACTTCATTCCTTTTCATAGATGAATAATATTTCATGTTTATACTACAATTTGTTTCTCCATTCATGCATTGATGAGCATTTGCCTTCTTTTCACCTTTTGGCTGTAGTGAACAGTCTTGCTACAAATGTTCGTGTACATGTATTTGTTTCACTACCAGCTTTCAGTTTTTTCTTTTTTGAGATACAGTCTTGCTCTGTTGCCAAGGCTGGAGTGCAATGGCGTGGTCTCAGCTCCCTGCAACCTCCGCCTCCCAGGTTCAAGCAATTCTCTTGCCTCAGCCTCCCAAGTAGCTGGGACTACAGGCACGTGCCACACCTGACTAATTTTTGAATTTTTAGTAGAGACAGGGTTTCACTTTGTTGGCTAGGCTGATCTTGAACTCCTGACCTCGTGATCTGCCCGCCTGAGCCTCCCGAAGTTCTGGGATTACAGGCTTGAGCCACTGCATGGCCAGTTTTCAGTTCTTTTGGGTACATAACTAGACAGGAAACTAGTGATTCATATGTTAGTTGTACATTAATTTTTTGGGGGAATTATGAAACAATTTTCCATAGCAACTACCCCATTTTATGTTCCCATCTTCAACGTGTATGGGTTGTAATTTCTCTACACACCATTCATTATTATTTTCTATTTAAAAAAATGATTGTTAGCACAGTAATTGCAAAGTGGCATCTAATTCTTTGATTCGCATTTTCCTAATGGCTAATGATGTTGAGCATCTTTTCACGATTGTGGGTCACTTTTGTATCTGAAACATCTGTTTCTAAATTTATAAATTGGGTGCTTTCTCTATTTGTTATTGACTTGGAAGTGTTCTTTATATATTCTGGTTACTAGAACCCATACTTTATGGTCTTTTCATGTTCTCGACAATGTCCATTTATATGTACTTTTTTTTTTTAACTGTAGTCCAATTTATGTAACTTTTTTCTTTTTTAGTTTGTGCTTATGTTGTCTTACCTAAGAATCCATTCCAAATAAAGTCTTGAAGATTAGCCCCTGTTTTCTTCTAAGAACTTTGTAGCTTAAGTTCTCACATTTAGGTTATTTATCCATTTAAGTATAGTGTGGGTTGGGGATCTAACTTCATTGTGTTGCATATGTATATGCAGTTGTTACAGCAGTCTTTGCTAAAGACTGTTCTTTCTCCATTAAGTAATATTGGATCCTTCTTGAAAATCAAGTGACCTTAGATATATGAGTTTCTTTATGGACTACAATGATATTCCATTAGTCTGTGTATCTTTTCTTAGGCTTGGACCACATGGCTTTAATTACTACAACTTGGTAATAAATTTTTAAATTGGGAAGTGTGAATCATCTTTTATGTTCATCATTTTCAAGATTTTGTCTATTTGGGGCCAGTGCAATCATATATGAATTAGGAGTACTGGCTTTTTTCTACAAAAAGACTGTTGGGATTTTGACAGGGATTTCACTAAAACTGTACATTGCTCTTTGGACAGTATTGTCATCTTTACAATGTGATGTCTTCCAACTTATGAACTCCTAGACAACAGGTGAATTCAGCATGATCATAGGATACATGATCCATACACCAAATTTCATAATCCAGGCACACAGAAGGGTACATATAAGACCTATCTGATGTCTTTTTAATGATAATAAACATGAATTTTTTGCTCAATGTTTTCTGTTACAAAAAAAATTGTTTTGGACATGAGCTATTCTGGTATCTGGTGATGCATAAAAAACAAAAATAAAACAACAGTTCCTAGTTTTCTGATACCATGTGCACAGAAACTTAACATAGCAAGCCTGAGATTGTTTTTTTTTTTTTTTTTTGAGACGGAGTTTCGCTCTTGTTACCCAGGCTGGAGTGCAATGGCGCGATCTCGGCTCACCGCAACCTCCGCCTCCTGGGTTCAGGCAATTCTCCTGCCTCAGCCTCCTGAGTAGCTGGGATTACAGGCACGCGCCACCATGCCCAGCTGAATTTTTGTATTTGTAGTAGAGACGGGGTTTCACCATGTTGACCAGGATGGTCTCGATCTCTTGACCTCGTGATCCACCCGCCTCGGCCTCCCAAAGTGCTGGGATTACAGGCTTGAGCCACCGCGCCCGGCCAAGCCTGAGATTGTTAACCTTAGAAAGGACTGTATGTACGACTGGCCTGTGGCTGGTGTCAGGAAATAAGGACTTTGAGAAGGTTGCCACCATCCATAACTGTTAAGAGTGGTTCGCCGTGCCTAAATTCTACAAGGTAATTCATTCCATATATTTGGTCTCCCTGGAGTCTGGAATCTTGGTATATGCTAGGGCAGATGATACCTACCATGATCATTTCCAATAAGAACTTTAGATACAGGTTACTAAGCTTCCATTGTAGACCTTTCCTAAGTACTATCACAATTCAGTGCTGGGGGACTTGAGTGACTGCTATGGGATACCAGGCAGAGAGGGCACTTGCAAATTTGCACCTGGTTTTCTCAGATATTGCCCGTGAGCCTTTTTCCTTTACAGATTCTGCTTTCTATTCTATCACTGTAATATAGTCATAAATACAACTAATATTCTGAGTCCTCTTAGCAAATCACAGAACCTAGAGATGTTCTTAGGGACCTCCAACCTACTATGCAAATTGAGAAAGCATGGATTTTTTTTTTTTCTTTTTCAAGATCTATAGCTTTTTCAAGAAAGCATGGATCTTAATAAGTACCTTGCATCCTGAGAAAATATAGTTTACAAAATTAACTACATAAATCAAATGTATCTGACACTTTGCTGAAGAAAGCCTTTAACTTAACACACTTAAGATATTACTATGGTGTGTACCTGATTAATTAGCATCTGACAATAGTTTGAATATTTATCTCCTCCAAATCTCATGTTGAAATAATGACCTCCAGTGTTGGAGGTGGGGCCTATTAGAAGGTGTCTGGGTCATGAAGGCAGATACTTCATGAACATTGGTGTCCCCACCATGGTTCAATGAGTGAATACACACTCTAATTAAACTCACACAATAGCTGGTTGTTTAAAAGACCATGGCACCCCTCTCCCTCTCTTGCCATGTTACATACCTACTCCAATTTCACCTTCTTCCATGACTAAAAGCTTCCCAAGGCCCTTACCAGAAGCTGAGCAGATGCCAGTGCCATGCTTCTTGTAAAGCCTGCAGAATGGTGTAACAAATAAACCTCTTTTTAAATTACCCAGTCTCAGGGATTCCTTTATAGCAGTGCAAAATGGACTAATACAGCAATCAAACGAGCTTTGTCCTAACTAGTTCCACACCCTTTGGAGCTCTGCCATTGTCAGGCTATGTTCCCTGTCCATACACATCTATTCTCTAGAGTCTTTTTTTTTTTTTTTTTTTTTTTT